ATAACGAACGTATAGGTGCCTATTAGGCAACCATCTAGAACAGAAACAGACGACTGAGCACAAGTGTGAGAAGCACTCACTAGGGAAGCTCGCAAACTGAGTAGGAGTGTTTCAAGCTGTGACTTTAACAAAGCATCGCCTGTCCCCCGTGATCTCAGATAACATGAATTTCGTGGTTTATGGACCCAAGGCCGGACCAGAACCAGACACGATGATATTGAGACCAACGACGTCAAGTTCATCGAGCCCAAGGACTATTAACTATCATATACTGACGAAGCTATTTCATTCAACGTCACGCTCGTACAAGAAGCTACTCACCTCTCAGGGCTGACTCATACCGTCTGTTCCACAAATCTTCTTGGACGAGAAGACGAGGTAACAGAGTCAACTCAAATTTCCATCGCAACCCGGTTATATCGAGCAGGAATGACCAACAGCAGCGATCCATGATCCTACACGCCATTTTTAGAAAATCGAGGGAAAACCGTAAAATCAGAGTTGTTGGGGACACACCCCGGGCAGGTCATCTGCTATGCGTTCAAAAATGACAAATTAATATTATGAGCAGGGAAAAAGTTACGAAAAAAATTAACGAAAAATTAACCCCTCACATTTGGGAGTTGCGGTTGCAGCACCCACATATAGTGTGTTGTTCTTTTCGAGGGGCCTGATTTTAATGACTCACACGAGTTGCCATCATCGGTGCCTATGAATTCACTTCGCGGTCTACAGGACAAGTGTGACATACATCGATACAACTCACCATTTCAGTCTAAGAAAAATATCACTTACGAGCAGCCATACTTTTAGCCTGAAACTCCTACGGAAGTACCAGAAGAAAAGACGTCATTGCTTGGAAAGTCTAGTGATTTCATAGCACCCTTTGATCAGCCATGCTCTAACAGGGAATATTCGAACCATGAGGAAGTTAGCACAAAGGATGATGATTATGATGCTGATGCCTATTCATTTAGTATAGAAGTGCCTCTGGTGATAGACGTACTTTTTGTCAAGGTCTTTTGAGTGTCCTCAGTGGGGACTTCCCATCTCGTATTCTAGTCTTCGGACCATCAAGAAATCGATGTTGCATCAAATGTGTACATAACATAGGTTTTCGGAGACCAACGATGATGGGATGTGCACATAACTGCTATGTAAATGGGCGCGGTGGGGGGGGGGGGCACTACTACTGGAGAATCGAAAAACGCTGAAAAGTGCAATACTGTCAGCTCGATCCCACTCAGTGTTGGAACATATGTTTGCTTTCCTCAGTTGAACACTATATATACACGGATTCGGGTACAAGTGTGCTCAACAACTCGACAAGAATTTTCCCAGAACTTTTATATTTTCACCAGCACATCTAGTTGATCACGCTGTCCCCACTCACACAACGCAAATGTTCCTGTGATCTACACTCGGTTGCCTACTAAAGTCTAGTTAGCGATGATTATCTCCTCACTATCATACTCTTCGGGCAAAGGCATGCAACCAGCATTGACAGGTGCGGCACCCATGCAGGGTACCGGAATGAAGAGAAAGCGAGAAGGCATGACAATCCATGCATCCAGATGAACCCGACTCACATTAAGTGATCTAAACCTCTCCCTTTCGTCGCTGCTCGTGAGACACTAGGAGACGCGAATACAACCAATACTCAGTGGTAAAATGTAAGCCATCAATATTTCAAGTGAACACGTCTCAAGAATTTCTGGTACGAGCCGGTCAAACGATATCATCAAGTTGCACACTGCGACAAGCCATTTGTCTCGTGAACTTCACCTCGGTGTTCTTGTCAACAGTCTAGAATAGGGGTGTAGGCGAGCTAATGATAATGATGATGGGTAGTCAGCTAGGATGAGAGAAAATATGGCGTATTCGAGCTTTGCTTAAGACCGCCTGATAGAATTATGGAGACAATAAGAGCATAACAATGACTTGGCAGCTAAGTGAGTCTAAGAGTATCTCCGAGTCGACCTCATCATAGTGATTATAACCCATGGAGGAAACCTGACTCGAGTTCACACGAAGTTGATAGCAGTTACCAATGCTTCATGGTTTGGAGGGGGTGATTTAGAAAAAGGCAAGGGAGTAGAATACGAAGTAAGTGCCTGACGCGATGGGGATCAGATACGAGGTCGTCGAAGGAAACGGGATGGCATGTTTTCGCGAAAGAAACTAACGAGAGCAACCGCATGGCAACGCATGTGAACATTCAGAATCAGGCGAACTCGATGACGAACTCAATGAAGAACGCCTCGAGGCGACTGAGAACTATGCAAATCCAAAGTGTATAGACGCAAGGTTCGGATACAGCCAACAGTAG